CAATCTTGGTACACATTTACCTTCTAAAACGTAATTTAGGCTAGTAATATTAAGGTCTGATAGAGACCAAACGTCGAATTATGTTTTGCACCGAATAGAAGGTTACCTATCTTTACAGTTGACCCTTTTTATTATAGCCTCATTGGAACATAATTATATGTTTTAAAACATTTCTCACTTTCTTTTCTTCTATGTCAAATAAGCTGTTTTTCTTTCTACTGTTTTTTGTGACATCTAATTAATTTTTTATTTTGCTTTTAGGTATTTTGTTTTCCTAAAATAATTTATCAGGTTATACTGACAAGCTTTGTCGAAATCAAAGTTTGTTAAGGTAGGTACAGGCCCGTAGGAAGCAAATTCAGTTTGTGGGGGGGGGGGGCACAGCCATACATTTTCAGCTGACAGTTGAGGGGGCACTAGCATAAATTTCCTGACAAGCAGAAAAAAAAGAGATGTGTTTGTGAAACACTGATGCCTCCGTATGGCAACTTATAGCAAAGGTTAAACTTTCTCAAATGCAAATCAAATATGTTGGTACCCGAAGTAAGGTCTTGTCTCGAGGAATATACCTGTGAAATATGAGAGCCCTAGCAGCAACCATTGAATAGATATGGAAAGGTTTATGTTTTTTCAAAATTAAATCAAACATCAAGGTCAGGGTCAAATGGTAAAAAATAATGGTGCATAAGGAAAGGCCTTCGCACAAGAAATATACTGGTCAAATATGAATGCTGAAGCACCAATCGTTGAAAAGTTATGACCTAGGTTTAAGTTTTTCAAAAGTAGGTCAAAATCCAAGGTCAAGGTCAATGGATTACAATTTTTGGTATCTTAAGGAAAGTCTTGTCACAAGGATTAGATATGTGAAGTATGAAATCCCTAGCACCAATAGTTCACAAGTTATGACCAAGGTTAAAGTTTTTCAAAAGTAAGTTAAACTCCAAGGTCAAGGTCAAAGGGTCAAAGTTGTTGGAATCAAAAGGAAGGTCTTGGCACAGGGATTACAAGGTGAAGTATGAAAGCTTTAGCTCCGCTCCAACTGTTCGAAAGAAATGGCCAAGGTTAAAGTTGGGTAAAATTTTGTAAAACTAGGTCAAACTCCAAAGTCAAGGTCAAAAGGTCATCAAAGAAAGGTTTTGTCACAAGGATTACACATGTGAAATATGAAAGCTCTACCACCAACCATTCAAAAGTTATAGCCAATGTTAAAGTTTTTCAAAAGTAGGTCAAACTCCAAGATCAAGGTCAAAGGGTCAAATTTGTTGGTATCCAAAGGAAGGCCTTGTCACAAGAATTATACATGTGAAATATGAAAGACCTAGCACTAACCGTTCAAAAGTTATGGCCAAGGTTAAAGTTGGGGAAAATTTTGTAAAACTGGGTCAAACTTGAAGGTCAAAGTCAAAAGGTCAAATATGATGGAACCCAAAGAAAGGTTTTGTCACAAGGAATACACATGTGAAATTCGAAAGCAATAGCTTCAACCAATCAAAAGTTATGAGCAATGTTAAAGTTTTTGCGGACAAACAGACAGGCAGACGGACGGACAGGGCCAAAACTATATACCCCCGAATCTTCGATACGGGGGCATAAAAATGAAACAGACCTGTAGTATCATAAATTTAAACTAAATATCTTGCATGTAATTCCCGGGTGGGGATGGAGGTGGGGTTCTCACTCATTTCCTGTAAAACATTTTTGGGGGTTCTCTATCAAGGTAAGACTCGGCCAAACTGCAACAAAAGGGAGTGGTCTACCTTAAGTTACAAAGTTTACAGCAGAAAATCGTTTTCTGAAAAAAGGTCAGAATGGAGGGGGGGGGGGTGATAGGCCTCCCTGCGTCCCCTTCCCTTGTATGCAACTGGCTTGCGTTTCTTTCGTTTACATGTAATTTCAGTTTGTTCATATATTTTATTTTGATTTTAGGTTTAAATTCCAGTACTCGACAAGGGGATGAAAGTATAAGATTCATTGAAGCGTGATAACCTGTTTTTTGACTATAGTGCAATACAAACTGGCGAAATGGAAGGTGAATCTATTTTCTACCTAATAATAGGAGACTACACTATTGTGCTTAATTTCTTTACATTAGTGGAAACCTGTTAGCAAGATTATTCTCGCTAGCTAAGTCAGTGAAAATATTATATGCATAACTTATATATATACCAGTATCATGCACGGATCTAGAATATATATAATTTTTTTCGAGAAGAGGGAGGGGGAGGTTTAGACCACCTCAGACAAGTATCGGACTCGGAAAAATTGACGAGCAAAAAAGATGGGGGCCCTTGTATTTGTTGGGAAAATGGGGAGGGGGGAGATAGCAAGTAACTTTGCTAAGTCGCTTCAATTTTACGAGGAGTCCGCGTTGCCTAGGGGGATCCTTGGTCATTTTTATTACTTTACATAGAAATATCAATAACTCTGAAAATCCTGGGGGGAAGGTCCCGGACCCCCCCCCCCCCCCCCGATACAAATGTTACTGGTACACAACTGAAATGTAATTTTATTTTTATTTTCAATATTACAGACAAAGTATGACAGCTCTAGTGGTGAGTATTGTTTTTGTTTTGGTCGGACACCAACGGTTCGCTACGCCTCACACTTGATAGAGGGAAGAACGATGAACTTTGTCTGATTAAAGCAATAAAGCCTCATCCTAGAAAATGAAAGAGAAACCGAAAGTTGTTATAACATTATCTTTAGCAAATTTAGAAAGATTGTTGTTCAGAATAAGAGAGACGACCAAAGCTAAATTCAATAATTATGTCGTTGACAGTGTTCATTAAGACCTTACACAAAGGACGATTTGATATGGTCAGAGTAGAACCGGTAAGATTTAATTTTTTTTTTTTTTTTCATTTTTATACACAAAATTAAATGTCTGCAACTGATCAAGCAAATAGTGTAATGGGAAAAATTATCGTTGTACTAATTTGCCTATGAAATTCAGAATACAACAATACCCCGATAATACTGGCCAATCACATTGAATGACTGTTTACCAGTACGGCATTTGTTGTCTGCAGCAACACAGGGTCAGTCAAAGCCCATTTTTGTTATGATTTGACCGGATGGAGTTTTAATTAAATGCGTATAAGAAAATTTAAATTATGGAATTAGTAAGGGTACTCTGCTACTGTTGTACTATATAGCTATCGATATCATCATTATAGGAAGTAAAACGTGCTTTGTCTGTCCACATGTAATTGTTGTGTACTGCAAAGTAGTGAATAATCACTCAATACGATTGGTCAGTATTGTCATTGGTATTGCTGTTTTCTGTGTTTCATATGCAAAGTATTAATCGAACACCCCTTTTAATTATGCACTAGTGAGCATGAAACTGCACACCTAATGTCATCTCAAACCTTGCCATTGTACCGAACAGTCATGAAATAACGAAGTATATTTTTAAATCCAAAGTAAATTTTGAGAGGTTCAAATAGTGCTTTGAATACTTTTGACCTGAAAGCAGAAGAAAAGTACAGAATTTTGATAAAAGGTTTGAAATCATTACATATAAGATGATGATTTCTTGAGGAAAAGTGTTGGAATCTTATGGCGTACTGGTAAACAATCATTTAATCTGATTGGCCAGCATTATTAGAGTATTGTTGTATTCTGAATTTCATATGCAAATTAGTATTGATTTCATTGAAATCAAGCATCCAATCGATGAGTAAAAATAATAATCAGCACACAAAATTTTAGCACGCCCCATCAAGCAAACGGTCACGCTGTTAGTAAAACGATAATATAGAGATTTTTTACTGACAAAGAAGCGTAGTACATGTGGCTATATCTATACATTGTACATGTTACATCATAGCGTTAAATTACGGGGGGGGGGGGGGGGTTAACAATTTTGTACGTATAATACAAAAATGCTTATAACATCAAGTTGAAGTGCTCACTTCGATCATTTAGGAGAAATGTTACCATAAATATATTTTAAAATCAAATCAAGAACTATAGAAATGATAAAGATAACTGTAGAATTAATTATGTAAATCAACATATTTTAATTTTCTAAACTTATTCAATTTCCAGACTGATACGATTGAAACGATGTTTAACAAATGGGATACCCCCGAGAATAATGATGTTGGATTAGAAATCGAAAGTGTGCGGTTCATTTACGCAGGGAAACAGCTAGAACGCCACAGAAAAATCTCGGAGTGTCGTATAACAAATGAATCAATTATCCATTTTATTCTACGACTTGCAGGAAGTTAACAATAAACAATGTGAGGTGAACTTAAATGCTTAATTTGTTTTCAGCCTGTGTGTATTAAAAAATGAATATTTACTGGTAAAATAAATAAAAGATATTCAGAAAAAAATGTATGGATAATCTGTTTCTTTTTTAAGCTCAATAAACTGAAAACAGCTTAGTTGTACATTTTTTGTTGTATCATAAATATCCGTATCTCCAAAAAACTTATCCCTTTTAATTGCGTAAAATGAATAGTTCAGTCGCGTTTATGTTGCCTTGAATGTAAGAAGCCTGTGGATACCGGATATATTTCAAACCAGAAATACATGTACATGTTTTGTTTTGAACATATTTTATTGAAAAAAAAATCAATATGGTCGGAAACAGGTTCTGACAACTTAAGAATAGCACGCACCAGACATACATACAATGTACATTGTATTATTTCGATCATTTTAAAATACAGCATGCATGCATGCCACAGGCACTTGTTTCGTATACGGTGCACCCCTTTTTAAGTACGGGGTACCCCGTATACGAAACAAGTACCAACCTTCCAGTTATAACCAAAAGGCCATGAATAGTTAGGTTTATTCAATGTTTTATAAATACATGTATATATTAAGTGCGTTTCTTTCTTTAGATGACAAATTGTTTAAACGTTTAAAGGTAATCAAATTTCAGTAAGCGACAAGCGGGAAAACCAGGCAAAACGAAAGTGAAAGAGTAAGGTTAATAGAAATTAAAACGAAACTTCAATAAAGATTTATTACAATACACTATGGAAAAACGGAAGGTAAGATAGTAATTTTATGCTTTTAAAAGACTTGATCCATACAGAACCGTTTTCCTCCCCGTAAACGAAAAGCCACAATTATATAACTTCATTTATGAACATTATAATTTTTTTTTTATCAAACCTGTTATCAAGAAAAAAATGTTTGTAACTTAGGTAAATTGTTATGCATACATTATGGAAAGTAAATGGAATGTAAAAAAAAAAAATTACATGTAATATCAATATGCAAATCAGCTGATGCAAATGACAAAATCTATTCTCTGTCACTATTGAGGCAGACAGGAAAGAAGATATTTCAGTTCTATACATGTACACACACCCCTTTGGGGTCTAAAAGAAAGGTTCAAAATAATATGGTCACCTTTTAACTTTTAATCCAGAGTTTGTTTTCAACGCCCCCTCTCTAATTTGTATACAATTTAATTGCGTGTCTTTCTTTCATTTACAGACAAAGTGCGACAGCTGTAGCGGGAATTTTAGTTATGCTAAAGATAAGGTATACCTACCGGATCTTGTATAAAAATCAATACCAAAAAGACATGACTAGCGTTTCTAAAAAATTGCTGAATAATATAATGTCATTTATAGAGTTATTTATTTTATGACATTTTAAATTGTAAATGAAAATTTACCATTTCACAGCCTCAAATGTAAGGGGAAAAAACAGATGAATAATTTAAACTTAAGGTATGTCACTCGTCAGCCTTTTAGAAAATTTCGGTCAGAACCTCTTACTTAAAAACTATTTATTACAATTCAATCTTTATAACATATTTAAATTAAACAATGTAAAATGTTCAACATTCAATTAAAAAACTGCTCAAAAATTCACAAAGAAGCAAGATTTATAAGGGACTATTTCTTGTGGCGGGAGGATATTTAGCAGAAAATTCTGCAAATCTACACATTTATTAAATTTAATATCTTGGAACTTTAGCCTCACATACTTTTACTCAGAGAATATTTTCCGTTATGATATGCCTGGAATATTAAATATACGAGGGGTTATCAAAAAGTTCGTGGACTGACGCGATAAAATTAATAATATGTAGTCTTTGCTTACAAAATTTATGCGGAACATAAAACAACAAAAGTTTAAGAAATGTTGAAAATTTTAGCTTGATACGTTGATAATTTGCCAAATTATTCTGAAATTAAAAAGACTTTATGTGATCACCCGGCGCTGTCGCCGTTTAGTGTCATGACGTCCGCTTAACGTCATTGTTTCTTAATGTCCGCTCTCTCTACATCATACACTTATCTTGATGAGATTACCTGGAGTTAAGTAAGGACTTAAACCCGTCTTATTTATATGAATTTAAAATGTCATGAGCAGCTGTTTTCAATGCAAATAATATTGTAAATGGATCTTTATATGGGGAAAGATCCTCACTTGATTATGCCAGAATACTTAGCTTGTTGGAGTTCAATTTCTACCACACATGATCAACGTCACTTTTCGACGTGACTGACTTTTGACACCCTGACTACAAATCAACACTAACTGTGCATATTTCATCTCTCTGAATCTTTTTGGGCATTAAAAAACAAGTACTCTGGATGCATTTTATTTTTCTGTAGCCAGTTTAACATTCCTTAGGTCAATACCAGTTTTTCCAGGAGCGAAACTCTATAGAGTCTTTGAAAAAGAAACCCCTTCTCCTTTTGACGTTATTTTCAAGCCCATAATTGTTTGGATACTCCATATAAAATTTACGATAAAATTTCATAGAAAATACAGAATGGGGTAAAAACTGCTAATTTTACTGAACAAATGTGTCGTACCACATGCCTGAATTAACGAGATTTTTTGATGACAAATACTCATATCTAAAGAGTTTTTCTCAGTTACACTCAGGTAGAAAAAAACGTCATATTAGAGGTTGCGCCGCCTGGACATACCTTTGCTTACAAAAACATTAACAATTTATTAAAAAATAAAAATTATGATTTATGGTTTATTCTATAGATAGAAAAGATGATGCTAACTTAATGTGTAAAAATTCATTGATGTACCTAAAGCGGTTTTAATTTTATGACGCTAGTCCACGAACTTTTTGATAACCCCTCGTACGTCTCAATTTATATTTTTATAACAAAATTTACACCTTCACTCATCAAACATTGCCAAGAAATGAAGATATATTAAGGAAGTCGAGATAAAATTTACACAGTTTTTTGCCTGAAAATCGCATATTTTGACCAATATTTCAAAATTAACATCACTGACCCCAACTTTTTCTTTCATTATTTTAAACTACTCGATACTTTTGACCGATCAGCACTTAAGTCGTAAAAAGTTTGATACAAGAAAATATTCTATTGCCTTTTTAGATTTTTAATAGCCTAAATATGAGACTTTTTAGTGCAAAAAGGTCAGACAATAATTTACGCGCATTAATTTGCATGATTTGTTCAATGATAAATATTATTCAAACCATTTTACGTAAAATAAGATTATGTTTATTGCCATGGTTACATCTTATAAAATGTGATAACGGATAAAGTGATTAACCAAAGAGTTACGATTTAAGTGCAAAAAGGTCAACTTCATTGTACCGTAGCCCAGTTAGATGCACACTGACCCCCCATTTTCTCCGCGATTTTGAGTCATACTATATGAGTACTTATCCAAAATATACTTCTCAAAAAATCCTTGATATAACAAATTTCACGAGTGACATACCTTAAGCTTCATCTCATTCTTAAAAATTTTAAAAATGGTCAAGGTGTAATGACACTCTTTTGTAGGGCTACATGGTGGTATTCGGCAATTGCAACCATTCCCTTTGTTCCGAGTGTTTTGGACAGGCTACTAGAACACACGGATATGTTGCTTGCTTTGTGAAAACTTGTAAAGGAAAATCATCTTTATGTGACCTTGTCAAGGTGGGTCTTACTTTTATCCTCAGGCTCCTAAGCTGCATACTTTGAATAACGCCATATATTTTTGTTTCCACATGTATCAATAGTTTAAAATAATTTTTAAATACATGTTACTATTCTTTAAGTTTTACCCCCTCTTGAATTCATCCTCTTTTACCTCACAGATCTGCTTTGAAACGTGACCTTGTATTAAGATCATTATAAATATGCTTTATAAGCTAAATTGTACTTCGTCAGAGAACATTCCCATCAAGGTCAAGAGATATGATTTTGTGACTGACAAACAGACAACAACACAGAAAAGAAAAAATAGGTCATTGCCCCCATACTAAAGACAAACTCATTTATTTTTTTTTCTTTCAAAAATTTATTTTTCCTGTTTTTTTTTAAGGTAAATTGTGCTACACGCCAGATATCATGTGTATTTTGTAATGAAGCTCTGGATGGATGGGTAAGCATTTTTGTCCTTATACTAAATACTTATATATGCCTTATACCTTTATACATCTTATAATAAAATTCTAAAACATACTGGCACATCCTTAAAAAGGATAGAAATTGCAATGCAAATTTCTCCAATTACCTATTGTGTCATAAACATGGGTGAAGAGGGTTATATGCTCACTTCCTCACTAATTAAATAATCTGTACAACAGTTGTACAAATAGGCTCCTGGTGATGGAGGAATTCCAGCTTCATGTAGTATACATGTAATAAACTGATAAAATATCATAAAGCTCGTATCACACCACTGAAACAATAAACAAGTGTCAAGTAAAGTACGTGATTTGTGGTATGTGGCTGATGGGAGCCAACTTGTTTGAAAGTTGCTAATCTCGTTCTTTCCTATTAAAATGTAGCAAACAAACTCCATTCATGAGGGAAAGGGGCAATGCACCCTTTACTGAAACATCGAAATCCGTATACATGTCTAAAGCATCAATCAGCGGACCTTTTCACAAAATATCGAATAATACGAAAATTTTATACAATTCATCTAAAGAGTGTTTAAGTTAGAGAGAGTTACAAAAAATCATATATTTCTATTAAATTAAATATATTTTGAGTACTCCTTTAGAAAAAATAACATCTTTCCAAATCAAAGAAATAACAGACTTTTGAAATTTTCAGATTGCGTCTTAGTTCACCAGACTCTGAAAATGTGTTCAATTTGTATACCTTTAAAAACTGTCAAATTCATTACTTCGCTACATGCTACATATACGTAAATACTTTTTGCATTACAATAAAACAAAAATCCAGTGAGCATATATATATATATATATATATATATATATATATATATATATATATATATATATATATATATATATATATATATATAATAATATATATATATATATATATATATATATATATATATATATATATATATATATATATATATATATATATACATGTATATATATATATATATATATATATATATATATATATATATATATATATATATATATATATATATATATATATATACCACATCACATTAATGACAGATTGTTGAGTTATATTCTGAAAAACTTCCGATACTGAGGTGACTGTCATGGTCTCTTTAGTTAATAAAACTTAAAATTACATTGTACAATGTCATGTAATTTCTGTTTATTTCAACATTTACTACGGTAACCTTCATTGCAGTGCAAGGAACTGAGCTGTCAGCATGTTGTTTGCATGAATTGTTCAAAAGCTTTCAGAGACTGCTCTTTGTGCTCACATCTGGACGAAGTAAGCAATAGAAGACCCGTCTTTGCTAAGGATCAGGTATGAAATTCAATATTAAGGTTATTAAATAATCGACACAGTTTTTTTTTCCAGCAACAAAAGCTGTCTTTTTAAGAAAAAAATATTTTCATTATCAGGTATAAGATTGTCTTGAATTTCTTTTTTTATAAAAGGATGCACTTCATTTCCTTTTTCTTCAAGCACTACTGATTTGATAAACATTATGCAAGCTATCAAAATTATTCATAAATTAGATAATTATATACATGTAATTGCCTTTGCTTATGTTATCATTCTACTAGACGTGCAGTGAAAAAATATAAAATAATATTGTACTATATTCTTAAGTCTTTGTGCATGGAACTGAGCATTTTTTGAGTCTTAGACTTAATTGATGTTTATAAATTTGTAGGAAATCATCAGAGATGCATTTATTAAGGACACAGACAAAGATACTGCATGTCAATCATGCTCAGTGAACAAAGTAATATATATATATATATATATATATATATATATATATATATATATATATATATATATATATATATAAAACAAAAAATATTGTATTCATTGTATTATTAGATTATATATATCATTAAATAATATATAACTTCTCCATGAAATAGGGTGAGGTCCAACTTCGTTTGTGTGCTCATGTTGTCTGTCAGCCCTGCCTCAAAAAATCCACCAAGGACTCGAACCATGTAGAATGTCCATTGTATCACATATGCCATGCAGAGTATCCGATTAATGAATTAAAAGCTTTCCTAAGTAAGGTATGTTTTTAACGTGATCCTTTTTTCATACTAATTGTTAGGCCATTATTTACACACTGAATTGTCGACAGATTTTCCCGTTATTTCCCGATGATGACAAAGAGCACATGGCAGGTTTCACCGGTCAGCAGGGGGTGCTCACTCTTCCATGCCATCTGATCCCACCTCTGATGTCTCAGAGGTCCGTGTTTGCTCTGCCCCTATTTTGTAATGTTTAATAGACATATGAGCTCGAATACTGTTCTTTATCTCCACATATTTCATCTAAAAGATTTTTTTGCTGCTACACAGATCCTTTTGGATCATTTTCTTGAAAACACCTTCTTTTAAGTTAAACATTGGGGATCAGAAACCTATCATTTATAAGTCGTTTTTTAAACACAGGGAACTCCTATGCCAGTTATTGGAATACCCTCAGTCGGACTGACGTGCTATGCTAGTTGTATTCTTCAGGTATTTGTAATCCATATTTACCAATACAAATTATTTTTCATTAATCTGATATAAATGACGCTTTAGTCTGACCATCACAGTGTTGATTTTGACGAATGCTCATCATAGCGTTAGTCCTTGCAAATAAGCTGTTGACTAAATTTCAGTACAGATTGATAAAGTGATAGTATTTTATCTTTTTTTTTTATTTTTTAAGCTGAATTTTAAAGCATGATATTAATATTGTCGACCTCTTTACAATCTTTGAATCTGTTTGTACTCGTGTGTAAGAATATTATTAATTATGCTTTTTTTCATTTTGTGAAACCTTATCATATAGTATAGATATTGTTCATAAAGGTTCTACGCCATACTGAACTCTTTGTTCAATTTCTGGAGAGAAACACTCCTAAAAAGGTAGTAAAGAATTTAAGATCTTGCACCATGAACTTTAAATTTATATGAAAAGTTTTGATAAAAATGATGAAAATATCTTTTGTTAAAGATGTTTATTACATTGTTAAGATGTGTAAGACATAAGAATTGTTTTGTATGGAATTAAGTCTATTGATAGATACACTGTGATATAAGGAACTGTTACTGGAGATTTCAATTCTATTACAGGACTCCTTTATTGACCTTTTATTGGGTATTTTGACTAGCGATACTGCATCAGATGAGATGAGATATAATATATCACAGTTGCTTGTATTCTGTCATTCCATGTAAGCATTATGTAAAACTCGCCTAAAACACGTAAAGGATTTCTACTTACAGATTAAAACTGAAATTGTTAAAGAGTAACCTTGTTAACATTATGCATAATATAACATAATATAATCCTGTACGAAAATTTACGCCCTGACCTTAGGCGGAAATCAAAAGACGGAATCCGCCTTTATCTATAAAGAACTTAATAAGACTATTAGACGGAGTCCGGGTGGAATCAGGGCGGAATAGGGCTCGAAATATTTAAATGAGTTAAGGCGTATTCCGCCTTTCCTAATATGGATTATTTTCAAGGCATATTCCGCCTTACCTGCAAGGCGTATTCCGCATTAATGGCAAGGCGTATTCCGCCTTACTTAGGATAGGCGTATTCCGCCTTACTAGCAAGGCGTATTCCGCCTTACTTAAGATAGGCGTATTCCGCCTTACTAGCAAGGCGTATTCCGCCTTAATGGTTAGAGGGATTTTGCATTAATGGTTACATAATCTGCCTATCACTGTGTACATCAGCTATTGTTGTTTCAGACTTTTACAAACTTAACAATTAAAAAAAATGAAATTATACAAATTATAAATCATTTATTTACAAGTTCTTTAAAATTCCGCCTTAATGGTTAGAGGGATTTTGCATTAATGGTTACATAATCTGCCTATCACTGTGTACATCAGCTATTGTTGTTTCAGACTTTTACAAACTTAACAATTAAAAAAAAATGAAATTATACAAATTATAAATCATTTATTTACAAGTTCTTTAAAATTCAATGACTAAAAAAATTTTACATTTGAAAATGTTATGCCTTGCCTTAAATTCACATGAAATAAAAAGATAAAAAATATTGTACCAAAACTTGATTTTTCTTCATACATCTACATAATAATGTGACTGTCACAGTTGAATTAACAAATAAAAAAAGAAAGACAAAACCGATGTTTAAAAGTCAATTCAACAAAACAATTAGCTGTTAATTTACCACTGGTTGATTATTTTCACAAAATTCTTTCTGTCTGCAGGGAAAGAGTGTGTCATTTTTATTGTTCTTCTTCCTAAGTTATCTGGAATAACTTATCTTTTCCATGATTCAAGCTTTAAATCCTTTGCCATTCTTCACACACGGTCACCACATGTTGAAGTCTATAAAGAAAATACAAACTGAGATGAATTTCTCGTTTTAAAACAACTCTTCAACATTTTTCAATAAAATGACTCTTTTATGGCATTCTATTCTGTATTACAGATCAGGATGCAAACAGTCTTGTCTAATTTCTCTCAACACTAAAACTTACAAAATATAAGAATAATTTTTCATATATTTATCAGACGTCTGATGTCTTCATGTATTCTTACCTCTCATAACCTCCAATACAGTTGAATGAAGCACAGGTGTTAGATTGCATTCCTTTTTCCCATGAATCTTCGGCAAGCTCTCAAATGAGAAGTCTAAGCAACATTGCCAGTTTACTCCTAAGGGTGGATGGAGAGTGACTTCTGGCCTTCATCCTGACTTGCTGCAGTTGCCGCAGTCCTCATTTTACCTTTATCGGCCAAAATTGCCGAGGACTTAAAAAGCTCGAAGTGCTGAAATGTATAACACTGCACTGCAGAAAATCCTAATATCTACAGTTTTAAATTTGACTTAAATAGGTTTTTAATCTTATTCAATTACTTTTCATAATCTTCATATATTTGTAAAAGGTAATAACGTAAGACCCCATTCTACAAACACTTTTAATTTACATGTATATTCAATAGCTGCTCATGAAATATGTAGATCTAACTTAAATGAATATACTCATATCCATGTATGTTTTGAAATGTACATTTGCAGCTGCTTATTGAATAATTAGGAAAACTATAGTGTAGATGCATCAACGTTATGACGAATGGTACACTTCAGTATGGATGAAAAAATAAATTAAAAAAACTTGTTCAAATTTCACCCCAAAAATGTATTTTAAGAATTCATCAAGGTAAAAAAAAAAGAAGAATTCCATGTACATGATGTATATATTAATATTTTAAATGATGACTTACATCTCAGAACCTGACTCCTAATCCGAACTGAGCAGCGAACTACACTTTTAGAAGGGTGTCTATGTCACCATTCCACTAATAAACCACTGGTTAATCCAGTGCTAACACACATCATATCGTGATTTTAAAACTGGAAGTAACTACAGGTCGCTAATTTTAAAAGGAAATCGTATTTCCGGAAAACACATACGCAAAGTGAAAAATAAAATTACAAAAGTGCATGTTGATTAATAATTGACAAATGAATTAGTAATTTTTTTTATCCTTTATCTTTGTACTTTTTAATATTTAATATTTTAATCTAAAAGGATATATTCATAACATTGAAAACAAGAAACAAGGGGGGGGGGGGGGGGACTACCCTACATTAGGCAAAAAGAAATGGCGCCTGAAATTTTATGCGCAAACTTTTTTTTAACATTCTGGGTTAGTGTAGAGTATAATGTGAATATAGGGCCTCAGTGCTATTCCAGTTGGAATTAATTATCGGAAGTAATGGTGGAGAGTGGTGTGTACATATTTTGGCTGTACGAATTCAAAAAAAGAGAGAAAAGAAAAAACACCGCTAAAAATTTTAACTTACCATTGTTTTTCACAGTTACATGTATTCCTGTACAGTGTTTAGAGGTTCTTCTTTGTCCATTCAGCATGTTCACCGAGCATAATTTGCTTCACTTCAAAGCTTAGTTAAGAATAACACCAAAAGTTGGATTTTATCACTCTTTTTTCCAAAAACACATAACAAATCATCTTCAGAATAGTAATTTACAGGCATACATCTTGCCTGAGTTCCTTTTTAAACTGAATAAGATATAAAGATTCATCAACCAAATTGACCAACAGTCATCACTTTCAAAATCTGCATTCAAACTGACCAATGCATCCAAAGAGAGGCTCTGCCTGAAAACTTCCGCCCCCTGTAGAGGGTGGTCAAGCAGGAACGCATTAGAAACGTATATCTGATATACAATATGGCTGCAAAAAATTACTCCTCTAGGAAACGCAATCTTCAATGTAATAAAAAGCCTAATATTCAAAGTCTAATAACTGGATTAAAAGCCATGTTTGACTATTTTTTTCGAATATCTCCCCCATTAGTGCCTTTAGAAAACAAGGTCATCTAGAGGAATGAAACATGTGGTCATAATTTAAACTGTTCATAATTTAAAGATTAATGCAGAATCCGTCTAAGAGCTAAGCCGGAAAACGTCTAACAAAAATACGCCTCAGATTTAAGGTGGAATCCACCTAAGGTATGAGGCGGAAAACGGTTAAAGCTAAGACGTTTTCCATGTCCGCCTTTAGTACGGCTTAGTCCACCTAGCACTTAACCGGAATCCGTCTCAGTCCGCCCGGACTCCAGGCGGAAAACGGTTAAGAGTTTCGTACGGGATGTTATTGTTGTATAGATTTGTTAAGTTTTCAATGTTGGTTCTTTTAGATAAATTATAATTATCTTTTGCAAAGATATCTTCTTCGACGATGTCAAATTACGCTTAACAACTATGACGTTTAGTACTATTTACGAAATAAAATATCTTAATTTTGAACAAGTTATTCGGACAACAATCCTATCAAATTTTTAATACGTTTGGTTTTCAAAATATAACAAGAATTGTCTTCTTTTACAGAGATGGAACTTTTGATCCAAATAATCAAAATGACTGTCTTTCTTTTCTTCATGTGTTACTGGACGTCCTAAGTAAGGATGAAAATATACAAGGTAGGTTAAAAGCATGATACGTTACATGGAAAAATGTTATCTCACGTGAATACTTGTCATTGTCTTTATAAAGAACATATTCGGTATGTGCAGCAGTTTGCATTTATTTATGTGTCTTTTTCATGCATCAAGGAAATGTTAATCACTTTTTCATTGATGTTGTGGATGAAATAGAATGCAGGGATTGTATGACTGTAAGTAATTGTGATAATTACTTCATAAAAAGCAGCATGCCATTCATTCATTCAATCTTTATTTCCTTCATTTGGAGATTTGATAAACAAAACAATTATTACAACATATTTACATATATATATATATATATATATATATATATATATATATATATATATATATATATATATATATATATATATATATAAATATATTCTTCATATGAACATTGTCTTCAATGCTTGCAGAAACAAGAGATTGGTGAACAAAGGGTTCTTGGTGTAAATTCTCTTACAGATATATCTGAGGTATATATTTTGGAATTGTGTGTTATTTTAGATTAAATAAACAATAGAGTAATGCTGAATTTTTTCCAGTCACTTCAATGTTTTTGTAAAATTTACATGGCACTTCTACAAGCAGTAAACATGGATTCACGGGAATTAACACTTTTTTTGTACAGAAAGTTAACATGGATAATCTGTACGGAGAAGAATTGTTTGAAAATGGAGAATTGGAATGTTATGGCTGTAGAAAAAGTAGAAAACTTGTCAAAACTTCAAGATTGGCCAATTGTCCGGCGTTGCTGATGTTTCAGATACAACGAATTTTGGTATTTTCATTAAAAAAAATACAAACATTGCTAGTGCATGTAATACTTATATGTAATGGAGTCTGTCCTTTGATGGTAGATCAAAATGACTTAATTTTAAAAATATAGTTAAAATATAAAATTAATATTTTGATATCGTAAACTATTCTTTCAGGATAATGGTGATGGTTTTGTCAAAAGAAATTGCGAAATAAAATTCAGCCCAAGGCTTCAGTTGGAAACTGAAAGGGAAGGAAGAGTTTATGAAATGGTAAATAGTCATTAAAACAATCGAATGATATGATATAATAATGGAAAATAAGATTTTTCAATGAAGCAATGAATAACTGAAAGCAGCACGTTCTTTTCTCCTGGTAACATTGATATGAATTTTGGGATGTGATCCAAGAAAAATGAGACGGGTTCCTACAATTTTAATGTTTGAGAGCTACATCAAGCGCTTGAATACCTATAAATTGTGTTACTACTTACATCAATCAAGCTTAGAAAGATATTAAGAAAAATATTAAAATCCTAATTAACTGAAAAGAGATTCGAGCTATTTTTTCAACTAACGTTTTTGTATTAGACAAGTTCTAACCTTTACATTTATATTTGGATATGGATTTAAAAAAATCACGTGTTTGATGAATGACACCGTATCACAATAAAAAAAAAAATGTGTAGTTTAAATTTAAAGTCAAAATAGATGCACATTTCATTTCTTCTGTTTTCAGTCCCAGTATGAACTGTATGCAGTAGTATACCACAACGGGGATTTCAACGGAGGGCATTATTATTCCGCGGTGAAACATGACAATCAATGGTATATTTGTGATAATGAACACATCAGGAAGTGTTTTGAAGAAAAAGAAATTTTAAAATTCAGAGATGTATACCTTCTCTTTTATGAACGTAAATAATTTTTTTTCTTGTCAATCAATATCATAATTATTATGTATAAAAAAGATGACTTTTTAGCTCACCTGAGCTGAAAGCTCAAGTGAGCTTTTCTGATCACCCGTTGTCCGTCGTCCGTCCGTCCGTCTGTCTGTCCAACTGTAAACTTTTCACATTTTCAACTTCTTCTCAAGAACCACTGGGCCAATTTTAACCAAACTTGGTACAAATTATCCCTGGGTAAGGGGGAGTGTAAATTGTTAAAAATAAAGGGCCAAGTCCCCTTACAAGGGGAGATAATCAAGAAAAGACAAAAATATGGTGGGGTCATTAAAAAATCTTCTTCTCAAGAACCACTGGGCCAGAAAAGCTGAAACTTATTTGGAAGCATCCTGAGATAGTGTAGATTCTAAATTGTTCAAATCATGACCCCTGGAGGTAGGGCGGGGCCACAATAGGGAATCCAAGTTATACATTGAAATATATAGGAAAAATCTTTAAAAAGTCTTCTTCTCAAGAACCACTGGGCCAGAAATCTGAAACTAAAGTGGAAGCATCCATTGTTCAAATCATGACCCCCTGTGGTAGGGTTGAACACAATAGGGAATCCAAGTTTTACATTGAAATATAGAAGAAAATCTTTAAAAATCTTCTTTTCAAGAACCACTGGACCAGAAAAGCTGAAACTTATTTGGAAGCATCCTGGGGTAGTGTAGATTCTAAATTGTTCAAATCATGACCACGGGGGTAGGGCGGGGCCACAATAGGTATTACAAGGGGGGAAATCTGGTGAAGAACAGCATGGCCAAAGTTACTCAGGTGAGCGATGTGGCCCATGGGCCTCTTGTTCGTATATGAGATAAAGGATCGAAACATGAATATAATGGAAGACATGTATCCTGAATAAACACATGACAACAAAAGTAAAATGTTCAATCATTTGATATTGTTGTATTATACTTAACTAACGACCATTCTTCTGAATAATATGCGGTAATATACTTGATATTTCATTATTTCGTTTGCAAAAGTAACGTGGATGATTTGAAAAAAGGTCTTGCACGGTTTACTTTAAATTTTTGGACTTGTTATTTTATATTCCTAGATATGATTATGACTAGATAGTTGGCTATATTCTTGACTTTTAAAGGCGACGATTTGATTTGAACAAAACTACAAATACATCACGTAGTGATGATTCTATACTTATGTTGTTATTAGAAGGCGAAGCAGAACAAAGTGTAAAGATTGTACATAAATATATTCTAAGTTAAACTTTGGCACGTGGCGTTCAAAATATTATTGAGTTGTTATATAATACAGTGGCGGATTTAAGGGGAGGCGCACCCGGCGCACCCCCCCCCCCCACCCTAAAATTTTCAAAGTTGGCGTAAATCATAGTTTCGTCGAGAAAATGTAAAAATGTTTGTGCCTGAAATGGTATTATAAAAAAAGTCTGAATGAAATCCTCAAAAAGAATGCTTTTATTATTTCATCATTATTCGCCTCTTTTTTCACCTTAAGGTTTGGGTTGAACATATTTTATTGTAATTAATATATACAATGGGATTGGACGCAAATTCATAAAAACTTACTTCGCACTCCCCCTATATGAAATATTAAAAAAAATATGGAATTAATTTCTACAGATTAAATTAACCCACGACATAAAAATATGTACTGATTAATTCTGGTCTGTATACACAATTCTTTCTTTTTTTTTTAAAGAACAATCAATTGAATCTACCAGAATGCTGAATATAAGAATGTACAATAGAAAAAAAGGTATTCAGGAATACTGAGGGAATTTTCCCCCAAGAGTAATGTATGTGTGTCAATAATATGAACTTTATTTAATGTTGAGAGACATCATAGCTAAGCTATTACGAGAAATGGTCGATATGGATTTTAACAACAATTTGGAGAAACTTTGGTAGTTATAGTCTCTGTCAGGAAGGTCTATTTACTCTTTCTGTGTTATAACACGGTAGAGAATATTTTTCGTTGCACTTCTTGAAGGGAGGGTCGCCTGCGTGGCGCAGTGGTTAGAGCGTCTGCTCTAGAGTCGCGGAGTAAGGAGTTGATTTTTACGTCGCGGGTTCGAATCCTACTGTGGGACGTGGAGACCGGTCCTTCGGATGAGACCGTATAAATCGAGGTCCCGTATCGCAGTAGGTGCTGGCACGAAAAAGATCCCTCACTGCTCAATGGCCGTAAGTGCCGAATATAGGTCAGAATTTGTAGCCCTCCACCGGCAAGTGGTGGCGTCTCCGTATGAGTGAAAAATTCTCGAGAGGGACTTTAAAAACAAACAAACAATCAATCAATCGTGAAGGGAAGGAAGAGCTTTGCCGCATATTTGATATATATATTTTTTCACAGTGTGAAAAATTTAACCTTTATTCAATAATAAATTACAGTTACTGTATTTCACTTTTGTAAATGTAATAAAAAGCATGAACCCGAGCGGAAAATTGTGTTTGAAGACGCACATGCGTCGTGGTACATGTAACTACTTATTTAGTAATTGAATGATACAGCATTAGAGGATTCCTTTAATTTCATTTGATTGATGATATATTAATTCGTGTCATTACATAGGGTGGGGCTATATACATCATATAGTGAAAGTGCATTATTTCTTTGAAAATCTTCTTCTCTGCTCCTGGGTATTAAATAAACTAACTAAGTACATAGTTATGTTGAGCAAGATTGCCTCTTCCAAAATTGTGAATTTCATGGCCCCTGGGTCAGGGGTTCTGGTGTTAGGGCGGGGCTTTATTGATTATATAGTGAAAATGCATTAAATCTTTGAAAATCTTCTTCTCTGCTCCTGGGTATGAAATAAACTAACTTAGTACATACAGTGTAATTATGATGAGCAAGAGTGCCTCTACTAAAATAGTGCATTTCATGGCCCCAGGGTCAGGGGTTCTGGTTTTAGGGGGGGGGGGGGCTCTATTGATTATATAGTGAAAATGCATTAATTCTTTGAAAATCTTCTCTGCTCCTGGGCATGAAATAAACTAAGTACATAGTTATGATGAGCAAGAGTGCCTTTACCGAAATTGTGAATTTCATGGCCCCAGTGTCAGGGTTTCTGGTGTTAGGGCAGGGCTCTTTTAATTATATAGTGAAAATGCATTAAATCTTTGAAAATCTTCTTCTCTGCTCCTGGGTATGAAATAAACTGACTAAGTACATAGTTATGATGAGCATGGCTGCTTCTTCCAAAATTGTGAATTTCATGGCCCCTGGGTCAGGGGTTCTGGTGTTAGGGTGGGGCTCTATTGATTATATAGTGCAAGTGCATTAAATCTTTGAAAATCTTCTCCTCTGCTCCTGGGTATGAAATATACTAACTAAGTACATAGTTATGATGAGCAAGGCTGCCTCTTTTAAAATTGTGAATTTCATGGCCCCAGGGTCAGGGGTTCTAGTGAGAGGGGGGGGGGGGCTCTATTGATTATATAGTGAAAATTCATAATTTCTTTCAAAATATTTTTTTTCTACTCCTGGTTATAAAACAAAGAAACAAGTGTCTAGTTATGATGAGCAAGGGTGCTTTTACAAATTTTTTAAAACTTGTGGTCCCAGGGGTTCTGTTGTTTCTCTGAGGGGGAGGTGGGGGGGGGGCTCTATTTGATTATATAGTGCAAATGTGTGGAATTCTTTCAAAATCTTCAACTAATTGCATAGTTATGATGATAAGGGTACCTCTACCAAATTTGTAAATTTTCATGACCCTAGGTCGTGGGTTCTGGTGTTAGGGTAGGGCTGTGTTAAATAGTGAAAATGCATTATTTCCTTGAAAATCTCCTCTGCTCATGGGTATATTGGAAGCAAACTGAGTAAAAGTTTTAATAAGCAAGGTATTTTTACCAGAATTTTGAACATCTGGACCGTTTAGTCAAGTGTTCTGGTCCTGGCCAGGGCTCTATTAATTTGTATTCTACTGAGTGAAGTTATTCCCCTTTGCTATTCACATTTGATAATTAATCACTGTAGATAATGTATTTGAAAGGTTAATAAAATAAGAGAACTATGCAAGAGCATTTATTGTATAATACAAAAAGTACTTTCATAGTTTTTATAATCAGGTAGAATTGGAAATAATAAAA